TTTTTTTTGTATCGAAAAAATATCGAACCGTGACACCAAAGTACCGAACCGTGAATTTTGTGTACTGTTGCACCCCTATTAAAAGGTTATTATGGTTCTGCAGGTTACGGTTCTCGATCTTTGTTTTTGAGCACTGGCTGAGCAATCACACACAGCTCGTGCAGCGTGACTGTAATATTAAAGCCTGAACCATGAAATCATTTCAGAAATGTAAATTTGTTGAAATTGGAATGTTTGTTGAACTTTCTGTCTGTAAAAAAAAAATCAACTTTTGTTACAGGCGGCATATTTTTGCAGGTTATTGCTCTCAGTAGCGTTGCATGTCCCAGTGCGGCTCCAGTTCTTCCTTTGGAGAGAACCAGCTCACTTTTCCAAAGGTTTACGTGCTGATGGTTATGTGCATTCATTTGCAGAACTGGGGTTCAATTTTTTTAATGAAATCTGTTGGCTGCAAGTGCTGATTTCATGCAGCAGAGCCACTATCAGCAGTGGTTTTAGCATTAGCACAGCTTCAGTGAAAAAGAGCTGCATGTCTTTAAGTCCTGAAAAATTCTTGTTGAATTTACATTTTTCTTTAACTGCATGCTGATGTAAATGTGTTTGATCCTGTCTGCTAACTATTTTTTTCTCCTTTTTCCAGGCGTCTGTGTCCAGTGAAGATTTTTATTTTTTCAGCCTTGTTCACATGCTGAGTTTTAATTCTTCCTCCACATTTGTCCCTGACCTCTAACGCCTGACTGTCATCTGAAATAGATTTTTGCACACTTCATTATTGGTCTGCTTTCATGTTTTAGCTCTGCGCTTCTGTGAATGTCACCAGTTTTGTTTAACGTTGATTACAAGAACTATTTTTTGTAGGCCGTACTGTAGTTTGTTAATGAAAAATGTATATTTTCATCGTTAAAAATGTTTCAGCCTGTACAGTTTCCAGTTTTACATTCACTCTGTCACACTAATAAAGAAATCTTACAAAAACAGGCGTGCGTGTTGATGACCCATAACTAACTGTACATTTACACAATATGGACAAAACCACTGGACCACATAGTAAGTACATTTCATTTATATAGCACCCTTCAAGACAAGAATCACTTGCCAGCTTCACAAGAAAGTATAAAGTAAAGTGTTAACTAAATGCAAGTCTAAGAAAAAAAAGATGTTTTTATTTGTTTCTTAAAAGAACAAATAAAAACATCCACTGAGTCCACAGACCTACAGCAGCTGCACAAACACACTTTGAGACATACAGAGGAGGGTTGGACCTTTGCGGTTAGTTGGCAGAGTGTTGGTGACTCTGACTCCTCTCTGTAGCTTCACATGGGCTGTATCCCAATTCAGGGTCTGCAGCCTGAAAGTACGCAGCCTCAATGATCCTCAAGGGCCGCGTACTCAAAGACCGCTAAGGCCGGAAGTGCGAGGCTTGTGAAATGGGACGGTCTAGCCT